TTGTAGGTTATTTTTACGTTTTATACATTAAAGAAGCCGAAACAAGTCTCATCTAAATTTCTGTCTGTCCGTCTGTCTTTCTGTAACACTCAAGATGGCATTTTACGCAATCTTCTCCAGGAAAATGAGAGTACCTATCAAGATCCAAGCCATTTTAATGTATTCACTGGATTAGAGAGAGTGTCTTTAGCCATTAAAATATGGCCTCACTACTTAGTAAATAACATTACGGACGTTCAAAAATGCAGTTTTGTGCGATTTTTGTCAAGTTTTCGTCCAATTTTTAATTTAATCACATAATGATCTATGAAATAACGAACAGCTGTTCGGATCAAGATTATTTTTTCTAGCTGTCACTGATATGTTTACAAATGTTGTTTACAAATACCACAACCATTTCCGATCACGTTTTGAAGGCAAAGCCCATCCAAGTGAGATTAAAAACGTTGTCTTACATAACGGATTTAATTAATCGCAAGTGGAATAATATAGTGTAACCGTAAATGAAATTTAATAGCATTATCCAGGTCAGGAACCAGAGATTCTTTGTGTATAAAATTTTTCTTGAGTTTTGATAACCAGAAAGAAGACCTTGAATCAGTGTTGTATAGGGCTGGGAAACTTGAATTTATTAATGATCGTCGCCAATAGCTTACTAACAAGGATTCCACTCATTGACGGCGCTTCAATGGTGGTTGTGTAAAGTATAAAGTGTAAAGTAAAAAATCACAACTGCAGTGGGTGATTGTAACAGAGGTTTACGGTTTATGGATGATGCTAAACTCGCTTTTCCAATGTGTCACTTTCTGTTCCTACTCACCGTATGATGCAATCGCTGGACCATACAGCCAATAGGCCCATAGCCCATCTCTTGGGTACTTACGCCTACCCAATTATTCATAACAACCTTTTCGACGACAATCCTTGATACCGGTACTTTTCCCTAGAATGCACGGCCTCCCTACTTAAGAAATAAAATTACAAACGTCCAAAAACCCAGCATTGCGTGATTTTTGTCACATTTAATTCTAATGTTAAAAGATATACCAATCATTGTTTAGAGAATAGGCCTGCGTAATCTATTAAATAACAAACAGTTGTTTTTATAAGGTTTTTTTTTCAAACTGACACCAATAAGATTACATTAAAAGTTGTTTACGAATAAAGCAATTAATGGGAAATAATTTTGATTGCCGATAACTTTTCACGAGAAAATCCAAAACCAAGAAATCAATAACCTTGGAACTTGATTAACGCATTTAATTTGTCGGCCTTAATTCTTAACTGTAAACGTTGGTTTTTGGTACTGGTTCTTTTCCTTAGAACCGTTGGTAGCAGCAAGAATTATTTTTAGGTACCAACACATCACTGTAATTTACAAATTAGTTATCGTTAGTGTTGCACCTTATTTATACAGTGGTATTACAGCCTTATTCAATTTAATTGATGTCTTAACTGTATAAGTTTTGCTTTTTCTGTCTGGATTTTTAGTTTATGCTAAGAAAATGATAACTCATTTAAGTAAAACATTTGTTTAGCAAACCATCATGAATTGTTTACGATTTATGTTGTTTATGTATCAATAGTTCGTCGAAACGGCACACGGAAGATTTCTCAGGTGCCGTTTGACGTCACTAACTGCTGACGTCACTTTGAGGGAACACCAATACCGCAACGATACGGTCTTGAGCCATTGGCCTCGGTGGTGCAGTGGATAGCGTTGCGGGCTGATAATCCGTATGTTCCGGGTTCGAATTCCGCCGGCGGCACTAACTTTTTATCAACAATTTTTTCATATCAGCAAGTTTGGTTGGTTTGGTTAGGTTATGACAGTTTAATTTTATAATTATAAAATTAAATTTTAGGCAATTATAATTTTATTTTATGAACAACACTATTTTTTAGATTAGTAAACCTTTATTCGATTTTTCCATTATCAGCACGTTTGGTTAGTTTGGTTAGGTTATGACAGTATTATAATTATAAATTATAAACATAATAATAAATATTATAATTATAATAATGGAAAATTATAAAATTGTCTGTTTCTTCAGACGCAGCAGTTAGTGACGTCAAACGGCACCTGAGAAATCTTCCGTGTGCCCCACCGATAGTTCGTGGCCTATTTTGGTAATTTTTATTATAGGTTAAATTACCAATCTAAATTGTCTATAATACTTCATTTTATAAAGTAAGCCATCATTTCAACAGCATTTCGGGTCATCTTCGGTCCAAGCAAATATAAATTGTTATTAAAAAAAAATATGATGACATTGACAAAGATTTCAAATTCTAATTTATATGTAGGCTACTTTGTTATGCTTAAAACGTAGCAAATTCCCTAATTAAGTTCTGTATTTTTGTGTGTATGTCTGTTGGTAACGCATTTATGTCCTTATTTCTCAGTGTCACGAAAAGGACAAGAGCACCTTGATACTGAAAATGTCAACCCGAATAAAGTGTTAAATGGTGAGGTTGAGGTAGTACTTTAAATGCCTTTAACCATTTGTGGGAAGTAACTTTCAACTATAGGCCTTAGGGCTATGCCTCATAGATCTAGGCCAACAAAGCTTTTTTTTAGTTTAATCATTGGATTTAACATATGGACCAACACAATCCGGGTGACATTTAATTGCGAAGCATTTGTTTTGGCTTGAAACTGTCAGATACTGTATTTGCGAAGGTTTATATATAATAGTTTTGCCAGTATATCTGAAAATATGCAAACCAACTGCTTTTCTTAATATAAGAAGGTTTCAACTGAATACTTTAAGATCCGTGCATAGAACGGGCACACAGCTAGTTTGATTATATTTATGATCCATACCACCGTTTATCTTCTAATATCTATGGAATAATGCTATCAGCTATTTCTTTTTCTACTGCATTCAAACGTCAACAGCTGATCATATGTCTTTGTTTATGTTTCAAATACTGCTTCCATAAGGATTATATTGAAACTTTGAGACCCAGTGGGGCGGATTCCTGAGAGACTTTTTTAACGCCATATAGATGTTGGCACTCACAGATATGGTCTTTATCACCATGCAAAATTTGAAAACGATTGATTAAGCCGTCTAGGAGGAGTTTGCGTATTACGAAATGCATAAGAGTCTACGTATAAGAGCTTCGCTCGCTTCACTCGCTCCGCTCAATAAATAATACACCATAGTACCCTTTTTTTAAATTTATTTTTAATGACTGATGCATTTCAACACTAAGGTCATGGTCTTTCTCAATGTTATTAAATCTAATATTATGTAAACAAAGAAAATAAATACAATAACATGTTTAAATTTTAACTAAATCTATCTTGACTTGGAAAATTATATAATTAAGAATATCGTTATACCAATGGTTTTAATTATTAATTTTGTCTTAATTCTTGGATCTTATCATAAATTGGGTTAAAATTTTGTGTTTGCATTATGTTAAGGATGTTGCTTTCATTTTTTCTTGTTGATATATATGTAATTCTTCTTTTACATTCATCCTTTCTCCTTTTTGTTCATATTCTAAAATGTTGACACTATCTTCAATTTTTCCATAACTATAGTTATGTGATAAAATGTGTCCGCGTACATTGATTTTTGAGTTGTCATGTTGTTGGATTTTACTGATTAAATGTGTTCTTTGAATCGGCAAGAAATTGATTGTTTGTCCGATATAAAATTTAGAACAATCTTTTCAATTGATTTGGTATATTCCTGGTTTTTCATATTTATTCATTGGTTGCCGATTATTGTTGGACATTTGTTTTATTAATCTGAAGGAGTTATTTCTTGTTCTATAACTAATTTTGAATTTTGACCTGTCAAATGTTTTTCTTAAAGGTTTATCGATCGAGGTACTGAATGGTTTATCGATCGAGGTACTGAATGGGAGACATATTAAGTCTTTTTTCTGTTTTTCTTCTTCATTCTTGAGTTTTTGTTTTTAGATTTTAGATTTTCTTGTTTATTAAATTAGGGTTATATATATATATATATATATATATATATATATATATGTGTGTGTGTGTGTGTGTCCGTTATCATAACTCGAACAAAAATTATCCGATTTTGATGAAATTTGGTATAAACCTGTAAACCTACATTTATTTGGAACGAGTTCGCGAACCAGCATGATCGGACCATGGGAACGGGGGTTTTACGGGGGATTTTACGGGGTAAAAATGGGTTTTTCCCATTTTTGACCCTAAAAACATAAAATTTTGGAACATCTTTCCCAACCATTTTGTAGAGCTTATAATTTAGTATATTGAAGCATTGCTGTATGCCTAACGGTCACGGAGAAAATATAAAAAAAGTGTAATTTAAAATACCCACGTTATTCTTATGGAGAAAATGAAAACTGTTGTAGTCAACTTGTTTATGGATAAATTTTAATAAAATTTGGCAAATTGATTTAATTTCATACTACACTATTGACGTTTGGTCAAAAAACACATTTTACCTTCCCCATAGCAGCAAACCTAAGCACTCGTTAAATCTAATGCTACTTAAATTGGGAATAAATATGTCTTATTTATGGAAATATTAATGTAATCAGACAAGTTGAAATTCGCTTAGTCTGCAGGTTTGCTGCGGCGGGGGTATTTTTTATATTTTCTCTGTAACCTTTAACTAACTATACAACATGCTTTTTACTACAAAGTTGTTGCTCTACATGATGGTTGTGATGAAAATTCCGGCATTTCCATGTTTAAGGTTAAACATAAAAAAACACAAATTTTTTAACATTTAAAAACTCTATAACACTCCTTTCTCATGTCCCAATCTTACTGTTTTGCGAACTCATTCAAGTTTATCACTCCCTACACATAAAAATAATGCCAAATTTGATAAAAATCGGACCATAATCTCTCAAGTTCTATCATGTTTACGGACACTTATATACATATATATATATATCCTTGCCACCAGGGAAATTCGATAAAAAGGGTTGTGACAATGAGGTTACATTTCATTGTAAGCACCTACTGAGCATATTTTTATCACCTGGTCAAATGGTCGACCTCCCACATGGAACATTGTGTACAACAGAGTGTTGGAGTAGACAGGGAGAGGAGTCTGGCCCAAGGTTACTATCAACCAATCACTCTCAGTCTTCAGGTATTCATATAGAACCTGGAAAATCCAACATTCAAGACCATATCACAAATAAAACCAACTGTTGTGAACTTTATTGAATTTTGTATTGTTTGCTTATTGAATTTGGTGCTGACAACATTCCAACAAAAAATTGTCAAAGATGACTTTATTGGGTCTGACTTAAGGAAGGTACAAATGAGGGAACAATGACATCATAGTTTAATTCAAAATTCCTCCGCTAACAGCGTTGTAGTTGAGAGCACAGCGCGTAATTTTTACTTCACTATTAGGCCTAATTAATTATAAAATTAAGAAAAATTATAAAATTAATCTTAAAATTTTTCAATTATTAAATTAAACTGTCATAACCTAACCAAACTAACCAAACGTGCTGATAATGAAAAAATCGAATGAAGGTTTACTAATCTAATAATGGTTTTGTTCATAAAATTAAATTATAAATGCCTAAAATTCAATTTTATAATTATAAAATTAAACTGTCATAACCAAACCAAACCAACCAAACTTGCTGATATGAAAAAAATTGTTGACAAAAAGTTAGTGCTGCCAGCGGGATTCAAACCTGGCACCTTCGGATTATCAGTCCGACACGCTATTCACTACACCACCGAGGCCGATGACTGAATTCCGTATTGTTGCGGTAATTGTGTTCCTTCAAGAGGAGATCTGACAGCTGACGTCATCGAAGGCTCTTCTGTACCTCCCTTGAGTAAATACCAACTTTATTGAACTGAAACAACCCCTTTTGCACGTTATCAACAACTGTTTACTTCAAGGTAAATTTCCTAATGTATATTAAAGGTAAAGTCTTGCCTATTGTAAGAAAGGGGACAACAAGAACAACTACTTCTTGATGTAGTTTTATTTAAAGTGAGGCATGGGACTAACACTATATACAAATGAGGGGAATAAGATCAATGTGTTAACTCTAGACCAAATTACTTCGGCTAGTGTCTTGCTAAGTTAATAGAGAAGTCTTTGATAAACAATTAGGCTTCCGGAAAGTCAAAAATTTGAATGATTTTCTTTTCTTTTCTTGACAGATCGCTGCTTCTGGACAAGCTAAGGTGTATAGGGGTCACTGGAACTGCATATAATTGGTTTAAAAATTACCTTTCTAATCATTCCCAAATTGTCTCCATTTTAGGAAGGAGTTGTTCATAACGAAAAAATTGATTATGGTGTAATTCAAGGATCAAATTTGGAGCCTCTTCTATTCTTAAAATATATTTATAACCTTGGCAAAATTAATCTAGAGGCCAGACAGATCTTCCTGTATGCTGACAACACCGCTCCTTTGTTTGAGGGCGATAGCTGGGAGGAGGTGTATCAAAATGCGGAGCGGGACCTACTCACCGTCAAGCGATGGTTCGATCAAAATAAACTCACTGTTAATATATCTAAAACTAAGTATATGCCAATCCCCCTCAGACCGGTACCGGGTTAGAATAGCACCGCAGCCTTCTTGGGCTTGTCGTAAGAGGCGACTAAAAGGGTGACCGACGAACTCACTTGGTCAGGGAGTGCGGCATGGATGTAGAGGTTGGGCTCTGCATTGTGACGGGCGACCCCCGGCACGTCAGGTTTCCGGTGCTGGGCAAACGGAGGTCGGGCCCCGGGGAACTGGGGTAGGGGTTTTTGCCCCTGAGGGTATACCCGTTCCTGACTGATTCCGGGCCGCTCCTTGCCGCCCGATGCGCTGGAGAAAACACGATGAGTTTGAATAAAAATACCCCAAACACATCATTGAAGAGGAGCTCAAATGAGCAAGTAAATTAGTTTGAAGTGGAGCAGAGCCCTTTTGTCCGAAGCTCCAAACTTAAGAGGTCGCCACCACCAACATTTCCGCCACCTGCACCTTTCAAGTGTTCTAAGTTTTCCCATTTAGGGTCTCCATCGGCAAGTGGAGCTGGGAACAGCTCAGAAAATGTTGGCGATGTAGACGTCAAACAGGCATTGCCGGGAACTCTGCTGCCGATCAGTTCTGCTGTAGAGATGCCAAAGGAAACCTTCACAGCGACGTCGCGGTTGGAAGTTTCTGAGATGGTGCTTCTGCGTCAAGAATATCTTGACGCAGATAGTAACATTGAAACCCGGCTCCGTGATATGGAGGATGACGTACGATGATAAATCATTTACAAAGAAAACACCTCAATATAATATTCTTATTTCTTTGCCAAAAGACTGTTTTCTTATATAGATAAAATATTATATAGTCAGATGTTTTTAAATTGTTTTTGGTAAAAAAAAACAAATAAGAGTTTCAGTTGTTGTTTGATGTATGAAAAATAAAGAATATGGTTTGGTTTTTGTTCACATTTATTAATGTCATTTCTGATATTTTATATTAACTGATCGTCCGTGGTATCGAGTAGATTGAATCACGCAAATTGACGATTTCAATTGGCGACCGTGACAGGACTTTTAATTAAGAAATGACAAAATTAGGAGTTGAAGATTTGACAACTGAAATGCTAGAGAAAGGCCTGGAAGAAAGTGAGCAGAAGGAGACAGGAAGCAAAGCCTACGAGCTTCGACCACGGGTAGGCCGAAATACCCAGTTGGTAGAACAAATATCATAACCTGACCCGATGAGTACTCTACTGTCCAAAATTTCGGAGAAACTAGATATCCAATCTGAGAAACTTGACACACAGTCGGCAGATATTAACGATATTACTGAGAAACTTGACACACAGTCGGCAGATATTAATAGTAAAATGTCATCATTTATGGAACAAATTTCTCACAACTATTCAAAATTAGCCAAAAGAATTGAATCATTGGAGTCAGATGCTGTCGTGACCATTGATAAAATTACAAAATTATAGAAACAAATTTTGATGGTAACTCTGATAAATTAAATGAATTGGAAACTAAAATTGATTACATGGAAACTAAATTTCACAATAAAATTCAAGCTATTGGAACACAGATATCCTCACAGGAAAAGACAATTACTTGGAATAATCCAGAGTACCAACCATCATTCATGCCTGCTGTGGATCCCAAAATTATAAAAGACAGCTTACCGGAATTTCACGGCAGGTTAGAGGAATGTCCCACAGCGTTTTTAGCTACTAGCGAGTCTTTGTTAAAACGGACGTGTATACCGTCAGAAATATATCTGCAGATTGTGAGCCAACAGTTGAGAGGTTCGGCAGGTACTTGGTGGCAAAACATTAAGGGTCTAAGTCTAGAATGGGACACATTCAAACATGAGTTTATGCAGAGATTTAATTCAGAGGCTGTCAAAGCATTAATCACTAAGAAATTCTTGACGGATGTTCAACCTAGTGGCATGAGAGCTGGGGCATTTGTTATTCAAAAGTTACAGTTGTTTAAGAGAATGAATGATGGTGGGAGTATTGACGAGAGTGTTACTTATATTATGGAACTTTTACATGATAAGATTAGGTCTCTAGTTAAGGTAGCTCAACCAAAATCATTTGACGAACTCAGGAGCATAGTAGCAAAGCTAGACGAAGAGGTAAGCTTTTATTCCTCAAAAACCAGAACTTTGAACCCTGATAACTCCTTTAAATGTTATCAATGTGGGCAAACTGGGCATGTGAAGGTCCGTTGTCCGGAAAACTAGACCAGAACCGTTCTAATAGGGACGAGAATGGTTCTAGAAGAGTTTCCAAGTCCCAAAACTACCAGTCAAAAAAAACTTCCAAAGAACTCATGGAGAGGGAAGTTCCAGTCCCAATGAAGTTAAGACAGATTGAGCCTGTTCTTAAGGTGACACAACGGGAAAATTGTGACATTGACTTGGAACTGATAAAGAAATGGCAGAATGAAGATGCAGCTTGTAGTAGAATGAAATCCTGGATAAACAAACGTTACACTAATTCTGAAGCTGTCCCATTCCAGTTCAAGACATGCTATAAGAACCTTCGCTTGGAAGACAGTTTACTTATGTACAAATCTCATCTATCAGAATCTTCTCCTGTGATTGTAGTTCCGAAGTCTCAGGCTATAAGGATTCTAGAGAAGTACCACGACAGCCCTGAAGCTGGCCATCCAGGACAAGACGAGACCTACACTTCGATTCGGCGTCGTTTCTTCTGGGTAAATATGCATCAGGACATCAAGAACTACGTCCAATCCTGCACTATCTGTGCCTGTACCAAGGCTAACAACCAAAAAGCTAGTACAAGCATGAGAGGACGTCGGCCACACCAGCCGTGGGAGGTTGTTGCTCTAGATCTTATGGGACCCCAGAACATCTCGAGGGAAGACTGGAATTTTGGTGGTGACAGACCTTTTTACCAGGTAGGTCGAAGCATTTGCCATTCCTGAAGCTACGTCGGGAAGAATTCTACAGATCCTACGAACAGAGGTCTTTAGTCGTTATGGTTATCCATGATGTCTTCTCACAGATAATGGCAGTCCGTTCACGTCAAAACAATGGTTACGGACTCTAACTGAATGGGCTATTGAACACTGGACAACGCCAATCTACCACCCTCAGGCAAATCCTACTGAACGGAGAAATCAGGAGCTTAAGAAGCTGTTCAGGATTCATTTGTTTGACGAAGAACATACCAAATGGGATCAACACTTGCATGAGTCTCTCCTTGCCATCAGACAGCGAGTAAATCGCGTCACAGGCTTCTCCCCAGCAGAACTTTTTCTTGGTCGGGAAATAAAAAGAACTGGTGATTGGAACTTCATGCATGAAAACTCTCCTGAAACTATGAATTTGACTGCATGGCATGAAGAAAACGTGAAACAAATCAAACATATGAATCGACAAGCTGAAGAGAGTTCGAGGAGGGAAGCTGAGAGAAACGATGTACCTGAAGAGCAGGACCTGAAACCGGGTACGTTGGTTCTTCGGCGAAACCATCCCTTGAGTAGTAAGCTTAAAAATGTGCATGCAGGGATGGCACGGAAATGGCTTGGACCTTTTGAGGTGGAACACAAGCTAGGGAAGGGAGTGTACCTCTTGAGGTCTGATCCACCAATTAAGGTACACATGTCGGAGTTTAAAATACTTCCGCAAACTCTCCGTGAAGCAACTCAAGCCGAAGATGATGAACAAGAAGCAGAAGACCATAACAATGCATCACCTGTGTATAACTTAAGGTCTAGAAAGAGGAAGATTTAAAATATATTGAGGGTTTTGGGGGGGATGATTGATGTACGATGATAAATCATTTACAAAGAAAACACCTCAATATAATATTCTTATTTCTTTGCCAAAAGACTGTTTTCTTATACAGGGTGTCCCGGAACTCTCTACCAATATTTTAGGGCATTGTTCATGGGTAAGAAACATATCTAAATATCATATTTAAATTTTCCGGAAGTCCTTAGTTACTCAGATAGCCGCCATTTTGTTTTTTTCACTTATTAATTTTTTTCTAAAAATTGGTTAAACATACGAAGTTTAAACTTTGCACAAACATCTATGACAACTAGACAAAGCTACAAAAAAATTATGACGATTTTTCAAATTCATAAAACAAAATGGCGGCTGTTTAAAATTTTGTTTCTTAAATTACTCGAAAACCGTTGATTTTACAAAAATTTTACAAGAATAACTTTTTTAAGGCAATTTTATTACAAATCGATTGACACCTTAATCTTTAAGATCAGACGAGTATTAACTGAGATATGGCAGTTTTAGTGATACGTGACCGCCGGATATTAGTTGCAGCGCATGCTGAAAGCGGTCTTAAAGATTAAGGTGTCAATCGATTTGTAATAAAATTGCCTTAAAAAAGTTATTCTTGTAAAATTTTTGTAAGATCAACGGTTTTCGAGTAATTTAAGAAACAAAATTTTAAACAGCCGCCATTTTGTTTTATGAATTTGAAAAATCGTCATAATTTTTTTGTAGCTTTGTCTAGTTGTCATAAATGTTTGTGCAAAGTTTCAACTTCGTATGTTTAACCAATCTTCAGAAAAAAATTAATAAGTGAAAAAACAAAATGGCGGCTATCTGAGTAAATAAGGACTTCCGGACAATTGAAATATGATATTTAGATATGTTTCTTACCCAGGAACAATGCCCTAAAATATTGGTAGAGAGTTCCGGGACACCCTGTATGGATAAAATATTATATAGTCAGATGTTTTTAAATTGTTTTTGGTTAAAAAAACAAATAAGAGTTTCAGTTGTTGTTTGATGTATGAAAAATAAAGAATATGGTTTGGTTTTTGTTCACATTTATTAATGTCATTTCTGATATTTTATATTAACTGATCGTCCGTGATATCGAGTAGATTGAATCACGCATATTGATGATTTCAAGGAGACGATCAAGGCTATGCTGGACACCTTCCGGACCCAGAGCCGTAAATCAAGTGGTCAAAAATGGAATGGCCAAATTAGAGGATGACCTTGACTTTGCCTTTGCCTGCCGTCTGGTGAGCAAGGGGGCCATGGAAAAGATTGCCGAAAAGGTGGTGTCCCTGCCCGTTGAAAGAGGGCTGCCTTCTAAGAAACGTCGGAGGCGTTCCACATTGGAGAGTCCTCCGAAAAGAGAAGAAGGCGTCCAGACCAAAAATACCACCTAAAGGCAAGGCGACTCAGACGGGCCTCTCGTCTGCTGTGCCCAGATCCTTTTCGGACGCAGCTGCAGCTACACCGAAGCGCCGACAGCCACAGCCACCCACGACCCCCATTCAGGGAAGTTCCCGCAAGGGGTCAGCTGTGGAGACACCTGGGGCTCTGTGGGAAAAACGTCTTTCCAAAAAGGAGAAGAGGCAATTGAGGCGGGCAGAGGTCACCTCCATGAAGAATGAGGCAGTGAAGGCACACTGTACAGCCAACCCGCGTAGCCCAAACTGGGCACGGCTCGGCCCCTGCTCGGAGAAAGGCGCGGCCAAAAAAGCTCAGAACGGAGGCAGTCCTGGTCAAACCCTAAGGGAGGAGATCTTTCGCCGAAGTCCTTAGTGTGATTTAGGCAAAAGCTAAGCCGGAGCAGACTGATACGGTTGTACGGTCGATTAGACAAACCCGGGACAGGGACGTTCTCCTTGAACTGAGTAAGTCGAAAGACAAGGCTGCTTTTACTGCCGAACTGAAGGCAGCTGTTGAAGGCCAGGGCACCGTCCGTGCTCTTGAGCCTAAAACATCAATCGAGGTTCGAGACATTGATTGTGTGTCGACGGAGAGCGACGTTGTTGAGGCCCTGAAGAAAGCTGTACCCGAGCTTGCCGGGCAAACGGCCATTCTAAGGGTGTGGCTCACTAAATCCAATAGGAGTCAGCAGCGGATGGCGGTTGCCGAAATGGCAGACGCACACGCCAGTAAGGTGTTGGCACTCCAGCACCAGAGAGTTGGATGGGTCAATTGCAGGCTCAGACGGAGGGTGGAAGTGAAGAGGTGTTTTAAGTGCCTCGGTTTCGGCCATTCCTCCCGGAACTGCAAGGGCCGTGACAGAAGCAAAAACTGCCTTCGATGCGGGGAGGTGGGTCACATCCGTAAGGACTGCCAGGTCGAGTCCTGTTTCCTTTACCAAGAAAATGGGCTCGCTGATAAACACTTAAAGCATATTGCTGGGTCTGGGCAGTGTAGTGTATTTAAAACTGCACTACAGCAAGCGAAATCACTCCCACGAAGTCCAGTTGCTAAATTGTGTTCTACAGCAACAATGCACTCAGGTCTTCTAGATCTTGAAGTTCACTACTCACTTTTAATCACTCAGGTCAATTAATATTATATAAAATTTAATTTGTGTAAATTGGCTTTTTGAGATTTATTTAATTAGGCCTACCTATATATTTATTTTATTTTAGCTTGTGTTTGAAATAGATTATAAACATCATATATTTTAAACAGGCTGTTAGGCTTAATTAACTGGTAATAGGCTATTTTTATTATCTATTTATATACATAATTATATCCAAATTTATGAACTGTTGCAATATCCCCGCAGAAACTGAATATTACATGTAATATGAGGTTTCGATACACAGTGAAATAAATTTTGGTTTGAAATGTGAACAATAACATTTAATAAAAGAAGACTTAACTATTAAAGAAGAACGATGGATGGAACATGGTTATTGAAATACAAATACTTAATCAACACAGTTATTGAATCATGAACATTTAATTAACAACATAACTATAACACTTAACATTAAAGATAGGAGAAAGGAAGTACTATTGTTTATGTATTGGGGACAATGGGATAATATGAATTTCTCATCACTATTATTATAGTTATAGTTCATATGAGTTATTGTTCCTTAACATTTTTTCTCACTTCACACTTTTCTTAATTAAGTTAGTATTTCATTACACTGCAGATCGTCTATTTTATGTATTCAATTTACATATTTCTTCTGGTATTTAATTAACTGTGTGGAGTGCCTATTTTATTTTTTTATTTTTTACATTCAACTATTTACATGGGTTTAAGGTCTCTCTGCACACACTTTTCATTTAATTTTCTTCAATTTAAAATTTTCTTTAAATACACTATTCTTCTTCATACACATACTTTTGATTATATTAAACTTGTATTTTCGGCTGAGGAGGAATATATCTTTTTAGTGCTGAAATGTGGTATGGCCCAAATGTTTTTACATAATGTATTGCTTTGTCTCATGAGTTAATCTCAAGAAACAAAATGCAGACTTATATATAGGCTTTTTCATATTCAATCTCATATGAATATTCATACTCATATTCATCATTTTCATATGATGAAAATTATTTGTTAAGAGTAAAATCAAAATTGACTTTAATGCACGACGACGAACATTTTAAGTTTCCAATATTGTTACCCTCAAACCATGAAGTGACAAAGAAGCTTATATCAGAAAAGCATAGTCTACATCTTCATGCTGGAATACTATCTTAGTTTCAGTTTTACGTTCATTGTATTAAATTCATAATTTTACCATCTAAAATTGTATACTTTTAATTTTAAGTAACTATACTCTCATTGCAGTTAACACTATATGGAGTGGACAGTTTTTGTTCGCCAGAGGCATAGGAAGGATGTTGGGGAGGTTTAAGTTGATAATAAAAGAAAGAAAGTTAGTTAAATTGGTCAAAAGGAAACACATAAGCAAACACGAATATAACACTTTGACCTACTTTAAGCGACCTGCGACCAGAGGCTGTAAGTAGAAGCTCGCTCACTTGTACTTCACATATGTGAGAAGAAGCTTCAAGGTCAAACTCTGGATTCTCAACCCGTCCAAGGTCACTGAAATAAAAATAAAAATTCTACAATAATATTTTTTTGTGTAAGATGAGCTGGGTAAAACTGCAAGATGGATTAAGGGAATATAAAAAACATTGAAACCTCTTATATGGCAAAAGATTATGTACAGATTTCCTACAAACTGTATTTAAATAACAGTAAACTTGGCCCCAATACGCTGGCAGTTCAGATTTCTTGGCGAACCCATGATAAATTTTACAAAAGCTCTACAGAACCCAACGCCAATGTTATTTATGACACTGCAGGTTACACTGGTGGTGAAATTAAGAACTTACACAGTACTTACGTGAAAACTCCAATAGAAGTTGTTTCCTCTGACGTGGAATTGGGTCCGGTCCCGGTTGATCTCTCTCCACAGAGGGATGTCCTGAACCCCCTATCCAGGTGGCGGGAAACAAGGAAATCAAAGCCTGTGTTTTGCTCATTTAAATATTTGTTCCTTGAACACAGGTTTTGACGAATTGTGTGCACTGGCAACTGATCTCGACTTTGATTTACACGGGGTTTCTGTCACTTGGCTCAGCCCCAGCACACCCTCCGACCACTATGAAAAACCTGGATACATCACTCTCTAGGGCAGACCGAGCTCTTGGTACTGGAGGTGGTGTAGCACTCTATATCAAGAACGGTTTGGCTTTTGATCAAGTTGACATGCAAGTCATTGATCCAGGCATAGAATTTATCTTTGTAGTGGTCAAAGCTAGGGGTGCAAAAGTATTCGTGGCAATCGTGTACAGACCACCGCATGTTATCTATACCGGCCTCGACTCTTTGTAGCCACATTAATAGACCATATTATTACCAATAAAGCAACTCAGTTTGAGATGAGTGGGGTGATTGATGCTGCAAGTATAGAATGATTGATAGCAGACAAAAACTAATCACTGATCATAAACTTGTATACTGCAATATTAAGTATAATTGGAATAAAAGAGTAACTAAGTTTGTCACATACAGAGACTTCTCTAAATTTAATATAGCTCACACAATTGACGAAATTAAGAGAGTTGAGTGGGAAAAAGTCTCTGAAATGACTGGTGTTAATGATATGAACTTTTACATAACATAAAATGTTAGGTGAATTTATGACAGTCAAGCACCCCTTGTTACAAAGAGAATGACTAGGAAAAAAGCAGAATGGAGAAATAAGAAAGTAACAGAACACATTTGAAAAATAAGTTGAAGAAAAAGTTTTGAGTACAAGACATGTTAATACTGTTAATAATGTGTTCTATGAAATGGTGACCATACAAAGTAGGTATTTTAAGCCAAGTATGAATGGAGATGAGTGTAGGAAGAGTGGCGCGATTTTGTAGTCTTGTGACTAAGGCCGACATTCCTTAGACACAGTTGTTAATTAATAGCCCATACAGCTAATGGCAACTATATCATGAATATGATTGGACGGAGTATAAACAAATTAGAAATCAATTGAATGGTACTATATGGCATGCTAAAAAGAGCTTTTATATAGATAAATTGTCTGACTGTAAAGATTCCAAAGAGTTCTGGAAATGCCTTAAACAAAATTAGGCTATATTTCTAGTAAAGAGAGCAATAATATGATTCTTAAAGATTTTTATGTTAGTGATATGAATGAATATTTGTAAAAATGGGATCATTGTATGGTGTAGATAAAGATCTAATAAATACGTACCGAAAGTCGACCCATAGTGACAATAAAAATATATTTAAATTTAAAGCTGTGTCAGAATATGAAGTAAAATCTGCTATAAATGAAATAACTTCCAGAGCTGTGGGAATAGATAAAATAAATATTTTAATGATAAAAACCATTAGTCCTTTTGCCATCGGGGCTATAATACATACATCTTTAGCTACAGGAATTTTCCCTAGAATGTGGAAACAAAGTATCGTCCATCCATTGCCTAGAAAATCCTTCTAATTTAAATGAACTTAGGCCAATTTCAGTCATGCCAGCTCTGTCAAAAGTACTTGAAACCGATGTACTAAAGTACAAAAGTACTTGATTTCATTGATGAAGAAGATTTACTGCCTAAATTTCAATCTGAGTTTAGAAAAAAACCATATAGCACCAACACTGCATTGATTAACCTGTTTGCAGACTTGTTTGCGGCGAGAGACAGCGGCCAGTGTAGCACTTTGATCATGCTTGATTATTCACAGGCCTTTGACTCCATCAGCCATGGTTTGCTACTCAGCAAATAAAACACTTTGAATTTGGGGATATGGCAATTAGCTGGCTAAGGTCGTACTTGGGAAATAGATAACAGGTAACCAGGATGGGTGTAGACACCTCGCCTCCCCTTAAAAAGCTTAGGGGAGTGCCGCAGGGGCGTTGTCTGGGACCCATCTTGTTGACACTCTACACAACCGACCTTACTTATGTGTACGTCACTGTACTGTGCAAGCATATGCAGTTGACTGCCAGTTGTATTTTTCCTACCCAATCGGCTCATTCAACAGCGCCTTTGAGGATGCAAAACATCTTGAGAGAATAAGTGAGTGGTCAAGGCCTTAAGTTGAATGTTGAAAAATGCACAGTGATCCACATCGAATCACCACCCATCGTAATTCAAAAAATCTGCGACGGTGACGTGTATATTCAACTTCACAATGAAAAGCTTAGGGTTTGTGACACTGTCAGGACTGTGGTTCTTGATGGTGGTCTTACCTTCTCTAACCACATCACTTATGTTTCTCAAATTACTTTGGGAAGGCTGCGAGGACTATACAGATTCTGTTCGATTCTTCCAGAGACTGCAAAATTGAAGTTGGTTCAGTCTCTGGTGTTGTCAGTGATGTATTACTACATTCCTGCTAATGGCAACAGTATTTCCCGGGAGAATATGAGTTCATTTTGTCTACGGACTTCATAAGCGAGAACGCAAATCCTCTTTCCGGGATTCTGCTGGTCTGTTGCCAGCCGATGCTGTATGCAGAGTGGGAATATGTTGTCTCATCCGTGGGATATTATCTCACAGAGAACCAAAATACCTGGTGGAAAGACTTGTGACACGTGGAGCAATTGCTCGACGGGGCACTAGGCAGGACAACCTCCTCCACTTTCCAAAAGTTAATTTGGAAATAGGGAGGGGAGGAGAGGATTTTCCTATTTTGGCCCAACCATTTACAATGACCTCCCCTATCAGTTCAAAAGCCTTTCGACCAAAAAGCTTTCATAAAAAAGGTTAAAATTAAAATTCAGGAATGTATTTTTATTTTTGTATGTCTGTTTATGTATATTATTTGTTTAGAGATATGACTTGTAAATATTTAGTTTTAGTGACGTGAGTAATGCAAGGTGGACTGTCACATATACTATTTAACATAGCCTTAGAAGATTCCCTTAAACAAGTAAGGCAAACAAATATAGCCTTGGGAATGGGAGTAAAAATAAAAATCCTAGTTTTTGAGGACAATGCAGTCATCCTGTCAAAAAACAGAAATGACCTAGGAGCTAATTAGACTGTTCATACAAAAAAAAAAAAAAAAACAGAGAAAATGGGTCTAAAGATTAATGATGAGAAGACGAAATACATGCACTTCACAAGACAGCCAAATGAAATGAGGGCAAATAAAGTTATTATAGATGGACAAAGTTGTTGAACAATTTAAATATCTAGGGGTAATTATGTCAAGCAGCAATAGTGAAGAAATGGAAATAATAGGATTGCTTATAGGATTGCTCAAGCCAATAAATTTATGTACACTTACATTGTTGAAATTGTTGACTTAAAATATTATCTCGCATAGAACGAAAATAAAATATATCATATAGTACAATTCGACCAGTACCTTTTAACATATGGAGCTGAAACTTGGATTTTAAACAAAAAAGAAGAAAACAAAATGATTGTAAAAAAAAAGTTAAGAATGATATATGGCCCAACACAAGAAAATGGATAATGGAGAAAAAGGCATAATAGGGAGATAAGGAATATGTATAATGATTATGATGTAATAGCACACGTGAAAGCAAGGAGAATAAGGTGGGCAGGACACGCACTACGGAGAGAACGGGGTTCACTATTAAAAGAAGCAAGCATAGGAAAGCCAGAAGGGAAACGACGATTAGGAAGACCCAAGAAGAGATGGTGGGACAGTGTCTCCAAGGACATCAGAGAAGTGGGGGCAGCAGTGGAAGAGGTAGAAGATAGAGAGAGATGGAGAGCAGTTGTTGGTGCGGCCAAATCCTGCCTTGGGCATAAATGGGCATGGGAGTGATTGAGTGAGTGAGTAATTCTGTAAACCAATATTGTATTGAGAAGCGCTCAAGAATTTTTATTTGATTTGTTACACTCACTGCCTTTGCCATTTGGACATAGCTCTACTTGCAGGACTTGTGAGCCACAAGACGACTGTTAGTAGCCCTAGCTATAATGTCAGTTAAGTCAGCTCCATAAACATGACTTTTTTTGTAAGTTATTTTTAAATTACCTCATTTTTAATTTTAGTTTCTTTTCAATGAAAACACACACTTCAGAAACTCCATCTAGCCAAGTTTGTGGAAATGTATTGTCCACTGTCTAAGAGACTACTCTTAAAATAATACTTACTTGATTGCTGTCAGAATATCTGAAAGTTGTTCATCGTGCAAGGTGCAAAGTCTCTCAGCCACAGGAGAGTCGATGAGTTGAGTGTATAGTGCAGTAATGAGCACCTGTACCAGAACAGAGTGAGCGAGGGGAGTGCTATCTGCTGGCAGGCTCTCTGTTAGCAAGTCACAGCAACACACCAGTCCTGGGGGCAGACAGTCCACCATGTCCGCTACAAGCTCCACAGCGAGGGCTACTACTTCACTCACATGCACACCTCCCTGTCAACCAACAGTTACAATAAGTTGAGTGTAGAGTGCAGTGTTGAGCACCTGATCCAGTAATTAGCAGAGCCACTCACTGATTTTTAAGGTTGTGAGGCAGTGTTTTTTTTTTTTTAATATGTGCGAGTGGCTTAATTTTTGAGCCGTGCTAAGCCTAGCCTACAAGCTTGAGAGATTGAGTACATAGTTATCATCGAGCTTGAGCTAAGCTTTTACAATCACGAACGCAGAGCGCAGAAGCACAGGATGATGACCGAGGTGGAGAGGGAATGAGTCAAACTTGAACAGCATGAGGGTAAACCTCTCTTTTTGTTAATAATGTTCCTGCTATCTGAACAGACATATATTTTTGATCAAGTCAAAAAAATATTTATTTTGCCTACCTATTGCTGAAAAACTGAGGTTGTTTACACTAAACAAAGATGGTCCACTGGTACGATTCGAATACTATTTGAGGTTGCCTTTTGTGCTTGAAGGCATCAAGTGTGGGCAAGAACCCTGCATGGTGCTTGCTTTTTACAGCGCACTCAGGCTGTGACAACATTTTTATACCCTAAATGTATTAATTTTAACTATTAATTCAGGAAAAATGTTCATTGGAGATATTTTGACTCACCTACCTAATTCAATAAAAAATACCGTAAGTATTTAAAAGTTAATAATCAATTAATTTCAAGTACCGGGGGACCGAGAGCCATAATTTGGTATAGTTTATACAAGATACAAGAACTGTATTGCCAGTAAAACACATAATGTTTGACATTAGTATCTCCTAACTTGTCAATTAATCCTAAACCTAAACATAAACATAATTTAACACAATTTAACTTCTTCGCCTTATAACATATTATAACATTCTATAATTAGTAAATTAAATTCATCTTTAGTCACTAGTCAAAATTCATCTATTGTGAACATGAACAAAACAGAGCTTAATTAAAACTTTCTTCAACTTCTTTTTAAATGAATTAAGAGGAAAATTTTGAAATTTAATTGGTAGGTGGTTCCAAAGTCTTGGAGCAAAAAAAAAAAATACTTGCCAATGTTTGTCGCCTTATGTCGTGCCTACTTATATGGCAATGCAACTTTTTTGGATGTTGCTTTTACCTCTAGTGTCATATGAGGGAAATTGTTCATTTGTTGTTTTAAAGATATTAGCTTTGAAATATATTAAAACTCGGTAAATGATTAAGCAAGGAAAGGTAAGAATCTCAAGATTTTTTTAAAGAAGTTGATTTATGTTTGTTTTGGTAGTGTATCCCCATATTTCAATACAGTACGTTAAATTGGAATAAAAAAAGAGTATTAGATTGTTTTCAAAGTTTCAATGACACATACTTTACCAAATCTTCTAAATATAAAAACTGACCTTGATAATTTTTTACTAAGGTAATTTACATGATCATTCCAGTTCGTTAACAATGATACCCAAGAATTTAGTTTGTGGAACAATATCTACAACCTGATCTTTTCCCACTAAAATTTTAGGGTCAAAACTTAACACTCTGGATGAAAAATTCAAAAAAGCTATCTTATCTACATTTACTTATAAACAATTTTCATTGAAGTATTTGTACTATTTTACTAAGAATTAAGTGAATGCACTGTTTTATGTCATAACTCAAACTCAACTAACTTTATTTACCTTTTTACAAACATAGAATAACAAATAAACATATGATAATAATTAATAGAAATTAACAGGTGTTATGAAATAAACTGTTGTCACAACATCCTCCCTTTTAAGTTTGAAAGTTCTTCAACCAGCTTGGTTTGTGTATATTTCTCTTTGGACGGTTGTATGGTTCTGTTTGATGTGTATTTGCTGACAAATTTTGTTCACTGTTTTCCTCTCTTAAATAAGGGGCAAGTTTGAGGTGGAATCGATTTCTTCTCACATTCCTCTTATCAGTTTCAACAATATATGAATGAGGGCTGTCCAGGATTTTCACAATTTTGCCATGTCTTCTAAGGTCCACAATCCAAACTGGGTCTCCTATATGAAGAGGATTGAGAGTTTGCACTTTGTTCCTTCTATCATAGTTGTGTTTGTACTTCTCACGATATGTTTCTTCTCTCCCTTTAAGATCCTTTAGATCTGGTTTTCCACAAAGCAAATGTCCTGTCTGAGGCAATGTGCTCCGTAATCGCCTGTTCATAAGAAGCTGAGAGGGACTGAACCCATTCCAGAGGGGTGTCGTTCGATAGGCTAGAAGCGCTAAATAAGGGTCTTCCACATTTTTCTTTAGAATCATTTTGGCGATTTTCACTGCCGCTTCAGCCTCTCCATTGCTTTGGGAAAATTTTGGGCTACTTGTTATATGCTTGAAGCCATAAACTTTGGAAAATGTCTTGAAATCTGAATGTTCAAGGACTTGAAATTGAGACCCACAGTCAGACCTAATTTCTTCTGGAATGCCGTGTCGACAGATAAAGGCTTTGCATCTCATTATTACTTCTTGTGATGTTAATGACTCTAATTCAGCTATCTCAAAATATCTGGAGTAATAATCTGTCACAGTCAAAAACCAAACGCCTTAAAGTTTGAACAAATCCATCGCAAGTGTTTTCCATGGCCTGTCAGGGAATTGTGTGGGAAGCAATGGTTCATGACTGTTCCTTGAATGTTTAATACAAGTAGGGCATGATTTCACCATACTTTCAATGGCTGAAGAAATTCCTGGTCACCAGACTGACTCTTTTGCACGTAAACGACACTTGGTGATTCCAAAATGACCTTCATGTACTCTTTGAAGTGCCCAAGACTGCAGAGCTGGCGGAATTACAAGTCTTGAACCTCGTAGTATCATCTCATTATCAACACTTAGCTCATCCTAACTCATCCTCACTGAATTATACGGTTTTAGGTCATCTTGTAATGATGCCTTAGAAGGCCAACCTTGGATGATTATTTTTTTCAGTTCACGTAAAGTCGGATCTTTATTTTGTTCCTCCAATACTTTAGCAACTATGCAGTCGTTTATATCGATGGACGACAAAACCATTTGAACAAACGCTTGAGTTTCTTCTTCTAACTCACGGTCATCAGTACCAGAAAATGGGAGAGGTGCTCTTGAAAGAGCATCAGGAACTAGAAGCTGCTTTCCAGGAATATAAGTAATTTATTGAAAAATCATATCTCATGAGACGCAATCGAATTCTTTGAATTCTTGGAGACAATTCATCAAGATGTTTGGATTTCAAAATTTGAAGTAGTGGTTTGTGATCTGTTTGTATTGTTATTCTCTTGCCAATAATAAATTCTTGAAACTTTTCACATGCCCAAGCAACAGCTGTAGCCTCCCTCTCGATGTTTGCATAGTTTTTTTCAGAAGGAAGAAGGCTTCGGGATGCAAATGATACTGGCCGTATAGAACCATCATCTTGAACTTGAGAAAGAGTTGATCCTAGTCCTTGAAGCGAGGCATCACAGGAGATAATTGTTTCCCGATTTACATCGTAAATGGCTAGAGGAGAGTTAGTCAAATTGAGTTTTATTTCATCAAATGCCTTCGTCTGCTCTGGACCCCATATCCATGGAACGTTAGCTTGAAGTAGTGAATTCATTGAGGCCAAAATCTTAGCTTTGTCAGGAATAAACTTACCAAGAAAGTTTACCATCCCATTGAACCTTTGAAGTTCTTTTACGTTTTTTGGGCAGTCCATTTTGAGAATGGCGGAAACCTTTTCCTTATCAACAGAAATTCCATCGGATGAGAGGAAATGCCCGAGGAATTTAATACTTGACTTCCCAAACTCAGTTTTGTCTTTGTTAAGTGTCATTCCTACATTTTAAAGCTTTTCAAGTACTTGCCGAACAACTGTATCATGTTCTTCTTTCGTTTTGCCCCAAATCAGAATATCGTCCATATGGACTGCGACATTTGACTGGTTGTCTATGATTTTGTTCATGCATTTCTGAAAATGTTCAGGTGCTGATGTGATTCCAAATGGAAGTTTGAGAAATTTAAAACGTCCAAAAGGGGTAAGGAAAGTAGTTAGATCCTGGGAATTTACATTTAAGGGGACTTGCCAAAAACCACTGTTTGCATCAAGTTTTGAAAACCATTTTGCTCCTGAGATTGAGCTGAGAGACGTTTCAATTTTGGGAATCGGATGATAAGACCGCTGGATGGATTCATTCAACTTTGTTAAGTCAACACATATGCAGACATCTCCATTAGATTTAGGCACTACTACCATTGCTGAGCACCATTCAGTAGCATGCTCAACTGGTGTGATTACATTATTTTGTACCATACTTTCTAGTTCTTTTTTCACTTGACACATTAGGGGTAAAGGTACTGTCCTAGGAGTGGTTATTGCATATGGCTTTGCGCCATCCTTAAGTGCTATTGTGTAGGGATCAGGAATGACGCCCAGACCACTAAACATTTCATGGTATTCGGTAAAAAAGTCACTGTCTACCTCTGCAACTGAATTAACAAAAGTTAAAATTTTCAAGTCCTGTATTGCTGGACGACCAAGCAAGGGTGTTATGAGTCCCTTCACTACGTATACCATGTGATTTATTTTAACATCTATGTATTGGATATTAGCTCTAACACAACCTACAGTTTCTAATTTTGTTCTACCAGCCCCAAACAACTCAACTAGAGTCGGCTGGATCCTACTTGGATCAATTATGCCAGGGGGAATTACTGTTACATCTGCCCCTGAATCAATTTTAAATGTTTGTGGTTTTCCCTCTAATACTAATTCTAGTTTCCCGGGCTTACATTTTGACCCATCCCCAAGTGTACCTATGAATACTTTATTATTTGAAGGTCCAAGTTCACTTACTTCATTTTTGTCAGTTACTTCCTGTGCTTCTTTAGATCTGCAGACCTTCGAAAAGTGACCAATCTTTTTGCATAAGTTACATGTTGCGCTTTTTGCTGGACACGTGCTTCTTGGATGGGACGGTTTATAACCACACCAGATACATTGCGCTGGGTATTCTTGTTTCTTTTGGCGAAACCTGTATCCTTGATTTT